TTTTTCATCAAAATGATAGAGAAGTACTTAGGTCAATTAGTTTAAAGCTATTCTCAGTTATTTCATTTCATTGGAATCTCACATTGTCATTTTTCGTCCCCAAAAGTTAGTTGATATATGAAGTTCCAGATTATATTACTTGAATGTAAATCTTGGGTTTCAACAAGGCTTACCCCCAAGACAAGATAGAACCAAAAGACAGACAAAACAATTATGGGGTGGGGGGTAGTTTTATATGTTTACCCATATGGTTCCACAGAAGGGAAACGGGGAGGGGAGGGAGGGAGAGAATGAGACCAAGTTATTTTTCATGAAATTACTACATAGAAAACAAGGAACACAGCCTTGGTGTTTACCTGTGATGCCACCCAGCTTTCCCTTTCCTACATCAATACTGACATTGGTCCTCCCCATGGCTGAAAATGAAGAAGTGGACTGAGCATATGAAATTCTTTTTCTCCTTCCTCATCCTTTATGAACTATCAAAGCAGCTCTTGCCCTCTTAGTGATCTGGACAAACCTTTATGTAACTAAACGTGTACAGAATCTTTACTGAGGCACTTTAGTGGTTCTCACTCCAGGTTCCCTTCCACATCCACTTAAGAAATTACCAGCCTCATCCCTGATCTCAGGTGGGCCAGAGTGTAGTCCACAGAGTCCACATGCATCACCTCTAGAGGCGAGAGAATTTCCCATGATTTCATTTTCTCACCCATATTCCTGTCGGACCCATTATCTCAGCCCAGAGCATGCCAGCTCCTTATTCAACATGTATTGTCTGCAGCCCAAGCAGTGAACAAATCCGACAAAAACTCAGCTCTGAGAAATAGTGCAATCCAAGTCAGGGTTAACGGATGAAGGGTGTGCGGTTGCCCCAGTAGATTCCATCTCTTCTGCTCTTTTGCCTCAGTCTCTTTGTCTGGACTTTCTCATGTGGTTGGTCCCTGGAGAGGACTGCGTTTACTATTACCTTTTCTATTTTTTCCAGGCAAGGACTCTTGAACGTTCTTTTGGCTCCCAGCAGGAACTTTGCATACTGTATTCATTGTCTCTCCCTTTGTCCCTTCTTTTTTAAGCCCTTCTTCCTTTTTCACAACTGCAGACTCTCAGTCCAAGCAAACCGTCTCCTCTGATGTTCAAGCATCTTTCTAAACGACAGAATGAGCCCTCCGGCCTTGCTCCCATGAGACCAAGTCTGGCTTTACTGTATGCTTTATTGACCTGAGTCTCAAGAGAGTCAAAGTTGGGTTTTGCATGTGGCTCACCTCTGCACTGCAACAGTGGGAGAGAGCAGAGGGGTCGATGGAATCTGCAACTGCAGCTACAGCACGTTGGCCCTCATGACCACGTATACATCTTATATCTCAAAGAGATTTCCGTTTTATTTTTTACCACAAGGGCACAGGAACTAACAATGCACATTTAATATGTTGACTTCAAAGCTTTTAGGGCCAATCTTAACTTTCTTTTTGAATAAAGCAGAAGGTGGAAGGATGTTTGCATAGATTGATAGACATTTTCATCCTTATCTACACTAATTCAAAATTGGTCAAGTGCCTATTCTATTTAATGTTTTCTCACTCTCTGATTGCCACATTGACTGGTCCTGTGCATTCTCCTTCATAACTGTCTGGCATCCAAACCCTCTATCTCATCTCTGTCATTATCACCTGGTGGAGTATCTCATCATATCTTACCCAAATTTTCACAACAGCCTGATTAATTTCATTCATTTGCTTATGACATCTCAATTCTCTCACCGTGGCCAAGATCATTCTTCTAAAAAAATGACTATGTTAGTGTCATGACTTCATTAGCTCCCAGTTGACTACAAGATAAAATACAAAGATAAAATTTAAATCCTAGACATTGAAATTCCAGGGCATGGTTACCTGGCAGTTTGTGTTCCAATCACAGTTTCTAACCTCCCCTCATTTCTCCCCAGGCTCCATGCACCCTATGTTATAAACACACGAGACCTCTTGCTGGAAAACACAGACCTAATTTCAAAGCATCATTTGCTAACTCTGAAAAGACTGGTCCAGAGTCACTCCCTCTTTCTGAACCTCACTTGTCTCCTCAGGGAAAGAGGGGTTGGTTATACAAAAGTAAGGGTTATAAAGATGTAAGATAATTCTGAAACTACCCAGCCTACAGCTAGTTTTCTTTCTGTGCCTTCAGAGTATTATTCCCTCTCCCTGAGCTGCATCTCTCTCTCTCCCATGTCACAAACTCCTGTACATCCTTCAAGACCCACGTCATCTCCTGTGTGGTTATATTTTTTTTGCCTCCCCCAGCTGAGCCAGACCCTCTCTTCTTTGGGCTCCCACAATACCTCAGGGCACTTATTACATCATGATAGGATATGATTCGAAGCTCCTTAAGAGTGAAGGCAGTGTCTTTTGTTTCCTTGACCTAGTATATAGTAGTTGTTCAAAAAGATACTTGTTGACTAAACATTTGATGATACCGTGCTGGACTCTACCATCCAGTTCTTGATGAGCTTGCAATCTTGAAGGATCTGAGCCAAACAGATCCACAGAAATCATCCCAGAACAACCCTTTCCAGAATAATGACTTAAAGGGTCAGATCACAAATGCCAGCAGGCAGTCCTTCTGTTGGAGGTCACAGGGAGGCAGGGAAGCCTTCACCAGGAATGGACACCTGACCAGGAGTATGTGTGTGGACTTAACTTCCAATTTTGCTTAGCCTGCCTGCATATTTATTATGCTTGCTCTTCTTCATACTCTGTAGATCCCTAAGTTTTGGTGATAGAAGGACAGAGATTTCTTCACTTTGGTCAGTAGTTCCCAGAAGATAACTGAAAAGAGCAGATAGTTTTTCATAATGCAATTTTGAGTAGCAATTCCAGATTTGCTTATAAACACTGGAGCCTGTAAATTACCAACAAATCAGCATATCCTTGAAGATGAAAACAAACTGTTCTACAAAGATAAAAGTTTGAAAGCCATACAGCTATAAAATCTTGTGTTTTCATTATATGCCTACCAGAAAGCAGATACATTTTTTAGAATCTAAATAATTAGACTGCCCAGATGAAATTGAAAAATGATGAGCTATGACTTGACAATCTATTTTTATATGATGTATACAATCATCCCTGCCCTTTTTTATAACACTGAGAAATATTCAATAAAACTTTGAATATAAGATTTTTTTAAAGAAAGGATTTTGTAATATGATAAGCAAGGAAAATCTAGAAATGCCCAGTGCTGAAACTAATAGACTATGATCTTAAGTTAGCATTTTCTTGCATCTTCTACCTCTCTCCATTTATAGTTTTGATGAAAAGCTCTAAAAGATATTGAAATGTCTTCTTTTGGTAGTACTGATTGCAAAACCAGATATCTGCTTTTTCTCCCTTGCAGTCATCACATTTCTTCCCTGACAACAAACTGCACAAGATGCCCTAATAACGATAATTCGGGCTACTATTTATTCAATGTATACAATATGCCAGGCAATCATCTAAGGAGAGTTTTATTTGGGAAAGTTCATCCAAAGTTTAAATGTACATTTCTCATTCTTCATAGCACAGCAACTCAATTAACTTCACACCACATATAGAGGGAGTTTTGTGAGGTCAAAGGAAAGTGCCCAAGTACTTCTTTGAGGGCTGTCCTGGAGAAACAAAATACAGCCATCTAACAAAAGAAAAAAACAGAAATTGCACATGCAAGGGGACAGCCTGAAACACAAGAAAGATTCCATTTCTGGGTGAGCCAACAACCGTTATCAGGCAGATGTGGTCATCTTTGTTCTATGCATACCCCCCATACAGAATTCCCAAGGATTTTGGTTTCCCAAGATGTCCCCCTTTCCATGTATTCAAATAGCAGATGGGAGTATGAAGGCCCTCCTGCCAGCTCTGTGCAACTTCAAGGGACACAGAGCAAGTTTGTCAGAAGAGCTCTCGCATCTGGTTCCATCACTCAACTCTTACACCTCCAAAGCCAAAATGATTGGTGTTTAAGATACAATGTAAAATACAGCTCGTTTAGGATAGACTGCCTGCAAAGATTAATTTAGTTTGTTACTACCTTACTATAATCATTTTCTCTGAAACTTTTTTTTCAGTACTGGGGATTGAATCCAGAACCTTGTGCATGCTAGGCAGCTGCTCTACCACCAAGCTACATTCCCATTCCTCTCTAAAATATCTTAAAGGAAGATGTCATCATACAAAAAACTATAAAGTTGAATATAATGGCTCTCATGAGCCAGCTTAAGTAATTATCAACTCATGGTCCAAATCATTTCATCTTAAGATATATACGTGGTTCCAAAACCAAATCTATAAAACTAATATCATCAAAGTTTTGCTTTCATCTCTTGCCTTCCACCCTATTCCCTCTTTCTGTATAGTTTATTATTTAATCCTCTCTTTTTTAAAATGTTTATTTTAATTTTTTTACTTTTATTTTTTCACAGTGCTGGGGATTGAACCCAGGCCTGCATGTGCTAGGCAAATGTTCTATCACTAAACTACACCTCTAGTCCCCATATCTTCCCATTTTTCAAAGATGAGCAAATGCTTTTATATTTTAATTCCTTAGTTCTGTAATAAAATAGGATTTTAGTGATTTTCAAAACGTTTGAAAAAAAAGTATTTGGAGTATATGTATTAAAACTATTAGTGGACTTTTAGGCCCCAAAGCAAGCAGTATAGTTATTTCATGTGTGTGTTAATATTAAATAGTTATTTGAATCCTTAACAATTTGTAAGACACCAAGGCTGTGGGCAAGAGAGGGCAGAAAAGAGAAAGGGCAGAAAATTTTGATCAGAGAACTGAAAATTGGGAAAAAAAAAAAAAAAGGCAAGATTTTGGAGATTTTAAGATAGATAGTAATATTAAAGATACTTTGGTGCACTCGGAGAATCTCCAAAAGGCATTTCTATAGTAAACATATAAAAACAATTTTGATTGAATAGAATTATTTTATTCACAAACTCTGGAACTGATATTCTTTCTCACAGATCGAATTGCACAGAACATCATTAAGTCCCACTTGGAGACATGTCAGTACACCATGGAAGAGCTGCACCAGCTGGCATGGCAGACCCACACCTATGAAGAAATCAAAGCCTATCAAAGCAAGGTACTCTGAGAAACAACAGGAAACTTCTCTGTGACTACCCCATTTCTGATTTTCTCAGTCTCAGCACCATCAACAATTTAGGCTAGATTAGTCTTTGTTGTGAGGGTTGTTCTGTGCATTATAGGATATTTAGCAGGATCCCTGTCTAGGTGTAGATACACAGTACCACCATCACACAGTTGTGACAACCAAAAATGTCTCTAGATGTTGCAGTGTTCCCCAGGAGGCATAACTGTCCCATTATAGTGACCAGAGAGATTTGACTTTCATCAGTTGGTTTTAGGACATCTCATGTTGGCTTCTTGGATTCAGGCAAAGAGCAGGAGCCATTGAGTAATCAGAGCAGCAATAATCATATCACACTTAGCAACAAAAATGTGGAACATGGCATCCTTAAACTTTTTTTTAGCTTTATAGATTAAAGAGGACCCAAGGGAAAAGGACAAATCTCCCCATATTATTAGTATTAATAGAATTTCTTTGTGTACATTGAAGAAGATTTTAAAGGAAGGAGTTTATTCTTACTATTCAGTATTCATGTTACTGGACTTTGGGATTGAGATCTTCAATCATAAGATGTTGTAGATGATGGAATTTTAACACAATATGTACATGTGCATCTAAATATATGATTTAAACAAAATACTTATTTTTCTCTAACATAATAGCTAACTCTTACTACTTTTATATAAATATGGAAACAAAGACATAGATATTGCTATGGTCAGTAAAAAGCAGAATTAACACATATGGAATTAGATTTCTCAGTTTAAAGAAAATAACTTTGAGATATATTTTGGGGCTTCTGTATTACTCATGATTAGTGATTTAATATCATCAGATGCCTCTTACCTTGGAATTCTTCTTACACAAAAAGCAATCTCAGACTGGGGATGTTGCTCAGTGGATGAGCATTTGCCCTGGGTCCGATTCTCAGTACTACATACACCCAGACAAACAACAACGACATTCCATACGTTCTAGAAAAAGAACACAACATAAAAATATTACAAGTTTAATGTCCATCAACTACCTGTGAAAAATGGCATTATGGAAGGAGGGAGGACCATGAATTAAATTGCTATTCTTCAAAACAAGGATTTACTTTTATATGATGGACCAAGACTTGAGTTTAAGAAAGGAGGTGGGGGGGAATTAGTAAGGAAAATAACTATCTTCACACACTCTACCAATTTAGCCTCAGTACTTTGATCATTGTGGCATATTGAGGTTCAAATAAATCGAACATAAATATAAAAATAATTTGCCCTCCTCTTCCTAATCTCCAACCTTGGGTCCCAAGTGACAGGTAACCCATAAGGCAAACTTGAGTGTTTTTTTGATTCTCCATGGAGTTCCTGGCTCTACTTACATGTTCTGTTTTCTCTCTTGAAGTCCAGGGAAGCACTGTGGCAGCAATGTGCCATCCAGATCACTCATGCCATCCAGTATGTGGTGGAATTTGCAAAACGGATAACAGGCTTCATGGAACTCTGCCAAAATGATCAGATACTGCTTCTGAAATCAGGTAAGCAAGGAGTAGACTCATGGGGGCTTTTTAATTTTATTTTTATTATTATTAAAGCTTTATAGTTAAACATAGTAATTGAGTTCCCTCCCCTCTTCTCCTATCCTTCCTCTACTCTTCTAGACTTCCTTCCCCTCATCTATTAATTTACATTTGATTGGGGTTTTTTAAATGGTATCCTATTCTTCCTTCCTCCTTTCCTTTATTTTACTCTAGTTTCCCCATATGAGAGAAAACATTTGACCTTTTGAGTTTCTGAGTTTGGCTTATTTCACTTAGCATGATATTCTCAATTTTAGACCAGGATGTGGTCAATCTTTAGCTCCGTGAAGGTTCTAGAAAATTCTTTCAATAGATAGCCCGTTTTTTACCACCCACATTGTCAGCTAACTCCCAAAGGAAACTCTCAGTAATGCAAATGCCCTGATCCCCATTCAGTCCACTTTGAAGTCAAATACAATTTTGCTTATTGAAAGTGGAGCTATTAATTGTGTAGGTTGAGATACCCACCTTGACAGGCAGTGCAAGTAATTAGTGTGTCAAGGTGGCTGAATTGCTGAGCTGGCGCTAAAACTTACTCCTTGCTTTCTGTGAGGGGGAAAAAAAAAATACAGGCTAGCTGAGCTCTGCCTCTGTGGTCATTTCCAATCTTTTTAATGAGGATAGCCTGCAGCCAGTGTATGCTGGGAGAATCTCCAACGTGCTCTAATCTTTTCCACCCCTTCTCTGGTACATTCTCACATACACACAATCACTTAGGAAGTAGCCCAAGAAATTCTGCATATAACTGACTGTGCAGATGCTATTACTTAATAGGAAAAATGATGACTTGTCTTACTCAGCTCCCTTTGAAAACAGAAAATAAGAACAATGTGGTGTTTGTGATAATCTTCATGACACAGTAATAATAATAACATCCTGTTTTACATGTCATAATATATGTATGCATTTTCATGTTTACTTATGACATCGCATTTAGTCTTCTGAGATTATTTTCATCTTAAAGCAGAGGAGGTAAAAATTCAGAGAAGTGAAAGACTGTGTTCATATCACAAAGCCAATATGTGGCAATCTGGTGTTTGAACATGAGTTAAATATGATTACTATTCTACGATGTTGCTGCTTCTTTACCAAATGGTGCAAATTGAGGAAAACGATGCTAATTTGAATATTATCAGTTTTCTAAAAACCCTAAAATTTAATTAAAACAGCAATAATCATTTATTTTGCCCTTAAAGCTACAATTTGGCCAGGATTCAGCAGGAATGGCTTATCTCTGTGCCATGAGGTGACTTCTCTGGGGAGAGAAGTACCTACTTTCAAATTGGTTGTATCCTATGGCTTGCAAAGTGTGCTTGTTGACAGCTGGAGTTCAGACTAGGCTCTGGGCTGGGGGCCTCAGTGGCTCTCCATATGAGCATCTTCACAGACTGTTTGGACATCCTGGTGACATAGTCACTGGGTTCCCAAAGCTTACAGCTCCGAAAGAACAAGACAACAGTGCATAGATCTCTCTGAGTTAGCCTCAGAAATCACATAGTGTTACTTCCACCATACCCTTCAGTCAAGGCAGTAACAAAAGCCTACCTGGTCTCACAGGTAGCAGAAGTGGATACAACTTCTTGATTTGGTCAGGTCTAGAAAAGCATGTGGAGTGGAAAATATTTTGGTGACTCGCTTTGAAAAATAAAATCTATCCCACTTATTATATGACTTTGAACTCACCTCTCAAGATGGTAGTTTTCTCATTTGTAAATTAAAGTGGTTACTAGAAACAATCAATTCCAAATTTGGAGTTGTATCAGGAGCACCAGAAGAGGTTGTTGACAGTTCAGAAACAGCCATCATCACAAGCCAGGGAATCTGAACCTCCTGGAAGAGAGCCCCATTCATTGTATTTCTAAGACTCAGATATCACCAATCCATGGACTGACATTTGGAAACCACTGACATTATGTAATCTTTAACATCTCTCCCTGCTGTAAATATGTTGACTCCAGTAGAAAAGACAAGCTACTTAATATCCTTAAAACTTCTGTAACTCATTCATAAAACAGGGATAATAAAACTCACCTAAAATGGTTATTTCAAGGAGTAAGTCTGATACCAATTGTAAGAGGCCAAAGAAAGTGCCTTCTATAGTGTAGAACACAGTAAATGGTAAGCATTTTTACTGGTGTGGGAAAGCCTTGCTTCAATAAATTTTTGCAAATCCTCTCATGTGTGGAAGCAATGAGAAATTAGCATAGCAAAGGAAATAAAACTCAGACAAATATAAAGTGGTGCCATAAGAAGACACCAAGGATGTAGCCAAATTATCAGTAGGATGCTGTCATGCATATTTGAGGCTTTGGAGTCTAGTTGTCACTTTCTAATACACTATGGGACAAAAGCCCATCTCTCCAACATATGGAGAAACTGCAGCAGTAGTTCCTCATGATATCAATAAATGTTCAGAGGGAAAAACAAATTTAATAACTATCATTTAGCACCTACTATGTGCCAGGGACTCTTTGTGGTCCCAGAGATGCAACAGTGAATGCAATGACCTCAACTGCCTGTTGCTGCAGGCAAGGTTCCTGCCCTCACTGAGCTGATAGCAAACTCAAAAACATTCTAAGTTCATTAAGGTTAATCAAACTTCTTCAAGTTGGAACTTCTCAGAGCCTGTGATCTGGGAATGTTGATTATATCTCTCTGGAGTGAGATAATTTAGCATTTTGCAAAAACCTATCTGCCCGAGAAACATTCATTTCAAAGAACATTAGATGTAAATGGTGTCTCTCACGAAACACACAGAGTTTCTATTTAATATCATCCTGTGCTGAAATAAGGAGGGAGCCTGTTAGAAACTCCATGTGGCAGGTGAAGTAGAGAGTAATGTCTCCCCAATAGCATAACTTCTACAAAAGACAATAGATAAAGGCTGGGGCTTTGGCTCAGTGGTGGAGCGCTTGCTTAGCATGTGTGGGACACTGGGTTCGATTCTCAGCACCACATATAAACAAATAAAATAAAGGTCCATTGACAAGTAAACAATATTTTTTAAAAAGACAATAGACAAGACTCATTTCCTGCAAAGTTCCTTTCTGAGCCATTTATCATCAACTGTGAATTCAAGAATTGAAACTACCTATAATATCAGTCAAAAAATAGTAATAAATGCTTCCCCCAAAAAAGTGTTGTTGGTGCCCTCTATTTCAACTTTAAAGTATATTTTCTCTTTAATTTCCTCACATGATTATCAAGAGAGACTTATTTCTAAAATAGTTATCTTAGGGAAAAGAATCTTGAAGGGTTTCCGTATTGGGGTGTCTGTGTGCATCTGGGTCTGTGTTAAAGTTCTTGAACATCTCCACTTACACTCAGTAATAACTACTTCATTACTGGATACGTATACATGGTTTAATTTTTTTTAATTCTTAGGTTGCTTGGAAGTGGTTTTAGTGAGAATGTGCCGTGCCTTCAACCCATTAAACAACACTGTTCTGTTTGAAGGAAAATATGGAGGAATGCAAATGTTCAAAGCCTTAGGTAAGCTTCCTTTTGCCGCTGGTACAATTTTATTAGCTACCATAAACTTCTCCACTTGGACTTGAACTGCCAAGTGAAATGTCTTGATTCTTTAATGTGAGCTAGTATCTCATTATTCAGTAAGAGTAGGGCACAATGAGCCTCTGAACTTCATCCAACTCTGCTGGTCCTACAATTATGGCTAATCTAATAGGAAAGGAAGAAGAGAACTGTGGACCCTATTGAGTCTGCGCCTAAAACTTCATGAAAATAAAGATCAGCCATAATCTGAAAAATTGGGGAGGCACTGTAGGTCATTCTTTGCTGTTTACTGCTTCACAAATTATATTATATGGTGGTCTATGGAGGTGACCTCCTAAATTTCTTAGTAAATTCATAATCACTAGTCAAGATAATTAAAAGAGAAACTCTTCACTTGTTTTTCCTCCAGAGTAATGATGTTCTCCCTGTGATTTGTGAAACTCTGGGAGCACCTATAGAGTTGGGGGTCAAAATGATTCTCAGACCATTGTCACGGGAGGCACTGATAGAGTCGGTCTTTGTTTGGAAGGGCCGCGTATCATCGTGTCCAGTCATCAGTGTACAGCAGGGATAAGAAGAGCATTAACAAAGATGGGATGATGCCAGGAAAGGTTTTAACCATTGATAATGCCATTTGTTCCATATCCTGTCCATGGACACCAAAGAAGGACACTGCTCTTTCACCTCCTGTGCTGTTAGCTGATACGGTAGTCAGCAACCAGCCCATCGAGGCTGGCAGTGTTTCCCTTCCACAGCTGACACACATCCAAGTTGTCCCCAAGGCTAGATTTTCAAGAAAGTAGGGAAAGCCTTGGCAAGCGACTTTAGTATATTTCCATCTTCATCAAATAAACATTTACCAGGGATAAGTGTAGAGAGGCATTATTGTCTTGGCAAAATTTACAGTGGCTAAGCTACTGACCTGTGTATCATACATCAGAAGGTCAAAATAAATAACTCTAGCTCCTCAATCAGATAGCCAGAGAAATTACCAAACTGACAGAAAGCTCATTTCCATCCTGTGAGAAGTGTCTTACATCTCAATTGAAGCCCCTAAACACTATCTATTGCTTAGGTTCAAATGGCACTAATACTGGCAGTCCTTAGCCCCTTTATGTAATGTTTTGGGTTTTCTATGAATGCTATCTCTATTATAAAAAATTCTCAAGTCATTTATTTGTAATTTGTTAGATGGAAATAATTTCAGGTTTATAGGATGGAATTCGGGTCATGTATTCCCATACCACATCCATGTCCCCCTCCCCATCACCTGGCCAAGATGTCGCCAAGTTTCCCTATTCTATAGTTAATATAAAATTACTATTTATGGCTAGGTGCTTAAAAATGTCTTTTCTACATGTCTAGTATCCAAATCCTTGAATAAGTTTTTGATCTTGAGACTTTTCTTACTCATCCACCTTCAGCCATTTTCCTTAAATTTTCCTTCTTTCCTTCTAGGTTCTGATGACCTAGTGAATGAAGCATTTGACTTTGCAAAGAATTTGTGTTCCTTGCAACTGACCGAAGAGGAGATTGCTTTGTTCTCATCTGCTGTTCTGATATCTCCAGGTACGGAGGCCTCGGATCCCTTACCTTTTTAAAAAAAACCTGCTTTACTATGTTTAACATCAATTACACCCACCCAAGCCAAAGGGTTCAGGAAAAACTTTGAAAGAACTGTATTTTCTTTAGCAAGGTTTTGATATTTTCGGGTAATGCAAAGAGAAGCGACCTCAAGTTTATTCAAATGATGAATTTTGCCCTCAAAACAAGAGTAGGACCTATGGTAAGGATCATTCCAGATAAGCAAAATTGTTCCTTAGTAAATAAATAAAGATAGATAATGACCTGAGTTAATGGCTATGTTTTATTTTGACCTTAATAAAGGACACAGAAAAAAAAAGTCCAATAGAGTGAAACTTACAGAAATATACCTAAATGAAAGACCCAACATAAGGACTAAATGAGTAAAAACCAAAGGACACTTTCTCATCATTTATCCTCAAACACTTAACCTCTCAGAGCTTTAATTCCTTCATCTACAAAGTAAGGGGATTGGATTCCATAATAAAGGAAATGTTCCCTAGCTCAAAAATGTAACAAATTGCCAAAAAGTTTTAAAGAAGTTAATATGTGATATTTATGGATCAACTAGAGCAATTGAAATAATTTTTAAGTATATGCCAGCTTAAAATGTAATAATAAATAGCGTAAAACATGTAATCATGATAATATAATAAAAATAATATAATAATAAATATGTGCATCCCTTTCAACCAGAAAGAGAATTCAGAGTCCCTCTGTAGTCTGTTCAGTGATGTTCCTGGTCAAGAGAGAGCAGCAGCAGTATTGACAACTCTGTTGAGAGAAGAGCACATTCCTGCCTAGTTTTTAAGATCAAGAGATTCCTTTCTTTTTTAACAATTTGTCTCTGGAGGTAGATCACTTTTCCTCATACACTAACATAGTTTTCAGTGAGGCTGGAAGAAATAATTCTTACATGTCATATGAGACTACACCTTAGGTCTTTGACATGTTATTCTAGCTAAAATTGCCCATAATACCAACCTCTATACTTTTTTAAAATCAGGCTCTATTATTCCTAACATGATTCCTTAATGGTCTTATCAGAGTTTGATTTTCCAGTTTTTTTTTTTTTTAACTTGCTATAATTGGTTATTTAACCACTTTTTCAAAAATGAAAATTAGTTATCACTTTTACCAACAGTTACTTTTATGGCTCTAAAATCATGTTTTTCCTCTGGGCCTTTTGTATATATTCTAGAAAGTTTCACAGGCCTGAAAGCACAAAGATAGATGGAAGAAATGAAAGGAGACGTTTATTTCTGGGAACAACTGTATTCCAAATAATGTTCCTTTTAATTGTATTTGGTTGTTTTCATTGAGTATAGTTCAATAGGAGACTGAATCTAAGTCTGGATCTATGAGTGAGGGAGATGGTTTCGCTATGGTTTCTGGTTGCTCAAAGGAAGAGCTTTAAAGGATCTCTTTCCTCTTTGCATATGTTTGTGTTGAAGTCAGTACATTCCTAGCAAGGAATATTTAACACATGACATATCAAACTTAAATGAGTTGTGAAAATGATTGCCCAGGAGGAGGGCTAGCCTGGTCTTTATGAGTTGGAAATCAGCTGAGCTATTTAGCCTTTATCTCAAAATAACATGCTCTCATCGAGTTTTATAAAGTTTGGAAGCAGGAGATTTGGCTATCTCTGCCTAGTGTGGAATCTTCCAGCTCTGAGAGCAGACCCACACTCAGAGGCTGCACAATACCAAACACCCTGATTTGCCACTCTGGCTTAGCGCCATGTTCAAAACCAGGGAAGAGATTCCAGTCTGTGTCTGTCTCATGCTTATCCCAGCTTTTCCCCAGGTTCTTGACTTAGTAGTCACCGTCTATTCAACTCGAAATAGCTGAGGGAAGGGGAAGGGAGGGAACTTAATTTATTCTGATTGAAAATTGTCACTGAAGGCCTTTGTGCTCACTTACGTAAGAGTTTGCTTAACTCTTGGCTAGACTTGTCTTTGCCCTGTCTAGGGTTACAGAATTGGGTTTCTCACCTGACCTGAACTGTGTTGAGGAGGATCATGCCAAGTTATTTTCCATAAGTATTTATTCAGCATTTAGAGTTTCTAGGTGTCTCTTCATTGAAGGACCAAACTAAGGCATTGATGCTAAGCTGCATGTTATCACTAGGGTGTATAAAGCTTTTAGGCAGAAAGGAAGGAAGGAGTAGGAAGAAGGGTGAAAAGAGAGAAGTGTGGGAGAGAGAAAGGGAGGGAGGGAGCAAGTAAGGAAAGGACAGATTATCCTGTTCACCATTTAAACATTCAGTATAGAAAAAAATAGGATTTTAAAAAAGAAAACAGGATTCAGGGTAAATTTTTGAAATCAACTCATGTTTATGTTGCATAAAGTATAACATAACTTCAGTTCTATATGTGATGAAAGAATAAGCTGAGAAAAGGAAGGGATCCTGTATACCAACAATATTCCTGTATAATATTTTTTTCTCACTGCTATCATTGCTTTTCTTCACAAATCACTAATATCTACTTTGAAAGAAATTCAAAGCATCCAGAAAAGAGACATGCAGACTATCACAGACAATAAGAAACAAAAAGGAGTTTATTTGAACCATTGTCTTTTCCTCCAAATGAATGCCCTAAGTCATTCATTATACTATGCATTACTGACTTCATGGTATTATTGCTTATAAAATATTTATGTTTTATATATAATTATACATCTTCAGAAGCAATTTAGAACTACATAATTTGAAATGAATCTAAAACTCAGCACTTGTATATGTAGGTGAAATAAAACAAAGCTATATCCTGCCCCACCTTCTTACCCATTTTTTTTTTCTTTTGTCAGACCGAGCCTGGCTGATAGAACCAAGGAAGGTCCAGAAACTTCAGGAAAAAATTTATTTTGCACTTCAACATGTGATTCAGAAGAATCACCTGGATGATGAGACCTTGGCAAAGGTAAGTCCCTCAGATCACAAACCCACTGTCACCAAAAGAGAGTGCAGGGTTCTTACAAAGCAAGGGAACTTTCTCAGCAGCAAACATTTCTGAAAGTTACCAAAAGCTGCTTAACTTTAGAGGTGTACATTTTTAAAAGGAGAACAGTAAATTATGGTAGATGGAGAGGAGGTTGGCTTTCTTAAAGGAGGAGGATACTGGCAGGTCTGAACCCAGAGTGCAGGAAGACAAAGCAAAGGAACTGTGGGTGTTTCCTCAAAGGAAGACAAGCTTGATGCAAGGAAATAAGTGTTTGAAATTCATATGTAATGAAAGAAAAGACTTTGTGCCAGGTCCTGAGTCAGATCTGGGCACAATTAAGAGTAATTGGATTTTTATTGAAAATTAGGAATCGGTGTCAAACAATGAGACTTGTTGAACAGGGTGGTGGGGGCGACTGCTGTGTGAAATAGTGAGCTCCTTGTCACTGGTCACATTCTAGTAGAGACTGCCTGGTCGCCTCTCAGGCATATTGTAAATAACAGTTTTCTGCCCAAAGTGGAAGATTAGTCTGATGACTTGTAAGTTTCCCTTCAACTCTAATCTCTTCATGCAAGACTTGCCCTGGGGTTCTTTCAAAATGGTGAAGCATCCCAGGAGCAAAATACATGCAACATGACATCAATTTCTTGATTTAGCTTAATTAAGAATGATGATCTTTAAGAAGAGTAGTGAGAAAAGTTGTTTACCAAAGAAACATATTCATAAAAGGAAGAAGTAATCTTCAATGATTGATAGCTAGCATTATTTTAAATCTTAAAGTATCTTTAATTTCTTAAGAACTAAAAAAAATTTAGAGGGATATTATTTTCAATTTTGAAGTATCTCTGATTTCTTAAGAACTGGATTTTTTTTAAGAGAGTAAGAAACTGGAAAATTGAGCTTATTCTTGGTTAAAGATAATAGGAATCCTACTCTTTATATTTTTATCATTAAATTCTCCCACTCTGCCCTTGAAATTCTTTATTTAAAAAAGGGGGGAGGGTAAAGACTCTATTTGGAGACATCATCAGATTTTACTTTGCACATACAGAGAACTGCTATAAAAAACCTCCAAGAGTTAAATATGCTACTTCATTATGGTAACATTTTGTTAAAATTAATGCATCACTAGGAAGAACATTTCCACACTCACTGTGCAGTGATAACTCTCTTTGATGTAACTTTTCACTTATTATGTGATCAAGGACAAGCCACCTGCTTTCTGCACCTCAGTTTTCTCCCAGTCAGGAGCAAAACTTTAACTTGCTTTCAGATTCACTGGGCAGAAAAAAATGGTAACAGGATCATAAGCGCGTGTCTCTGTCATTGCTTGATAACATATATGCATGAACACACCTGGTTAATTAACGTGGAGATGTGTTTCTTGCATTTGAGATCTCCTGAAGACTTTGGTCTCCATGTTTACCATTCTAAAGTAAAGTTCTTGAAAAGGAAAACTGAGTTAGATGAAAGCTCTTGCTCTTTTACTTGGTGAGATTGTCAGTTTGCCTGAAAACCCTGGTCTCTTAATCTACAGAAGGAGGATTACACTTTTTTGCTCCTATAAAGATGTGTTGTGGGGTTGTGGTTATTCTCTCCTTGGAGGGTAAAAGGTTCATGTGGACACCTTGTTATACACCCTGGTGGCCTGTGGGGATTTGAAGTATTTGAGGTTTTAGAAAAAAGACAGAGAAATTGAAAAGTAAAAGACATTTGATGGCAAGAAAAAAACTACAGCAATGACTATAGGTTAGCTCAATTCTCCTTTTGCCATCTTTAGGAAAAAAACACACAATTTTATCCTTTATTTATAAAGAGATAATGTTATAAAGTTGGGAGCCAGAGAAAACATTAGAAGAAGTTTTTTTTTGTTTTGTTTTGTTTTGTTTTTATAAAATTCCCTGGAACCAGTTCACAAAGAACTGCTTCCACAAGCCATATGCAGATATTGGGTTTTGTATGGACCCCTCTTTGTAGCAGTCATAATTTTAATAGGATGCTATTTGAATTAAAGTGGAAGGACTATAAAATGAAATGAGAACTGGACTCTCTTTTATACCAGTTCTGAATGGTGTGGACTCAGATATGGGATTCCATTTGTGTGAGCCTCAGATTTATCATCAAGGCTGGTGCCATTTGTGAATCTCTCCAGTTCCTGACTGTTTTAACATTCTGAAGACAAATACACTCTCAGTATGCAAAATATCGTATCAGCTTTCTGACATTGTGACAAAATACCTGATATAAACAACTCATGAGGAGGAAAGGTTTGTTTTGGTTCACAGTTTGAGAGGTTTCAGGGCACAGTTGATTGGCTTCATTGTTTTAGGGTCTGTGGCAGGGCAGACATGGTAACAAGGAATATGTGGTGAAGTCAAGTTGCTCACTTTATGGCAACCTGAAAGCAGAGAGACAGGACGGGATTGGAGTCCCAATATCTGCTTCAAGGGCACACCCCAAGTGACCTAACTTCCTCCCACTAGGCCCCACTTCTTAAAGGTTCTACCTCCCAATAGTGTCATAGACTTGCAAACAAGCCTTTAGAATCTGGGCCTTCTAGATGCATTTAAGATCTCAACCATCACAGATGCCCTTTCATTGAACTCCCCCAAAGGAAAAGTTTTGTTCAAACCTAAGAGGAACTCTTCCACCCAACTTTCAAGAGAGCTTCTTCTCTCTTCAAGTCATGGACCTCCTCTACCTCCATAATATCCCTTAGACAGTGATGACCCTTCTTAATATTTGTTATTCATAGAACCCCTGGGACTATAAAACGCCTATCTAGAAAAAGGCACACATACACAAAATGTTGTATTCAAGTCTGGAGGCTCGAGTTGAATCCCCAGTAGATGGGGAGGGGTTAGCATTTAGATCTCCTTTCTGTGTATGGTATAAAAGACTATTTATACCACTGACCAGTTTGACCATGAACAGGTGCAACAGACATCAGGATAAGATACTGGGGAAATACAGTCAATAAACATCATTCTGAAAGAAAAATGACTCCAACACACTTTCTATACACCCACTTCCTGAAATTAAAGTTCAGTGTTTTGTGCCTTTGGCCAAATTTAAACTTTGAAAATGCAGAGATCCTGTACCCATAAACTAAGAAGCTTGAGTTCTCATATATTAATTAGCTTTTTTGTTGTTGTTTTTTTGTTGGGTGAATTGGGGACTAGAGAAAATATCATATTAAAGAATTTAGTTTCCTCTCTCAGCATCATAATGATATGTAGCATATTTATATTAAACTGTCAGAGTCACTTACTAGCCAAGTGATCCAGAACTCTGATTTAAACTCTCCATTTCCTCATTAATACCATATGACTAAAGATAGCACCAGTGTCAAAAGGTTATTTTGAGGACTAAATGAGATTAAATATAAGTAATCTGCCTAATCCATAATAGGTAACATGTGAACACTGTTGCTGTTATTGTATTAGTTGTTGGAGTTGACAGAGGAAATCTCATTTCATCTGGAAAATGTTTATCCAAGAGATGGTATATGTTGGCTAATCACTGAAGGATGAAAACTTTTCGAAAGATGGAAGTTGGGAGGTTGGGGAAGTAAAGAATGGCATTCCACGTGATGGGGGCGATGGTATGGAGGTAGAAAAGTATAAGGTATGTTCAGACTATAAATAATAGTTAGATTTGGCTGGATCCCGGATTTGAGAAGCCAGGAAATGAGATAACACTGGTCACTCTCACTAAAGCTCATGAAAAAAAATAAATATACATATATATTTTTAAGCCCCATATGACTAGAGGAGGCAGCCCATCTGTTCTCTGGGCTTCATTTTCCTTGTCTGGGAAATGAGTAGGTTGGACTGCCTGGTCTTTAAGGTCCCTTCAGTATAACATCTTTCATGCCCAGAAGAGAAAAACAAAGGTTCCTTCTCACAGCTTTTGCCCTCCAGTTCAGGGTACTGTGTGATTATTTAAGGACTCTTTAGATGTTTTGCCATAATTAAAAAAAAAAAAAAAAAAGTGAAGAAAAAGACGGATTTTGCCATGTCTTGCTGATTCCAATTAGTACTCTGTGCACCCTGATCATTTAGTTTGAGATGGTCTTCTAGCCCCAAAGCTGCATAGTGTAAAATGTTTATAAAGCCAAAGGCCAGCATCTCTGTCAGGATTCCAGGAGGGGCTCCGTCTCCTTGGGTATTTAGTGCTGCCATGACTCATTTTGATGGAGTTTCTTCCTAGGTGAGGACCTGTGGTAATTCAGAACCTGGTACTCTTGCTTCTCTCAGTTGAGAATGTCAGGGTCCCTGCTGAGGCAGAGAAAAGGGTAGAAAATCACTGGGAACATATGAACTGTAAAGACCATTGGTGTTTCAGTTCTCTGGCAACTTCATTACCAGTCACTAAACCTGCCCCTCTTGTTGCCCTGACTGAAGTTGCTGAGACAGGAACTGGAAGAGGAGCCCGGTCCTCAAGCCAGGCTGTGGCAAAGCACCGGCTGTTTTAACATTCTGAGGACAAATACACTCTCAGTGTACAGAATACTGTGTCAGCTTTCTGCCACTGTGACAAAATACCTGATGTAAACAACTCATGAGGAGAAAAGGTTTGTTTTGGTTTAAGGGCAAAGCTTGGATCTGTACATCTTGCGCACATCTTGCCCTCAGGTGCATGTTTCCAACTCTTTTTGAAATGTGGTCTTTGGGTCAGGCCCATAACTGGAGGCAGGTGTGATGTATGCTTCTCAATTAAGCCCTTCTTTTTGTGCCTCCTGGATAACTAGAGTCATGAAATATTGTTAGGTAGTGTATGTATTTTTCCCAGCATTCCTGAAAAGATATAGAACACTCTTGTGTTGTGTTCTTGACCAAAGTTATATTGAGAAGTGTAAAGTAGCAAACTAAGGAGAAGTTTCTGGAGAAGTACCTCAGACTTCAAAGCCCACTCAGTCCTCCATGTGCACACCAAGAGGGAATTCTGCTTTTCATTTTGCCACAGATGTAACACGT